CATTTTACATGGAACTGTTCATAATACGCTTTACATTGTTATTTTACACCATTGTGTGATAGAATAAAATCACACTTCATTTTTTATTTCAATGGCTCTTTCATTCATAATCGCCTCAAGACACTAGAAGAAGTATTATATGTGTCTAAAAATCCAACAGTATACAATGCTCCTCTCCTGCCTTTAAATGCCCCCCCACACACATCTGGAGGGGAAGGTGGTCCTGGAGATCGTGGAGCCACTAGTCTCTTCCCCTATTGCTTTTGGATAGCTGCAGAAATGTAACAGCTTTTGCACAAATGTAACTGGCAGTTGGCTACATATATTGTTTCAATTTGGTGAATTGGGAGAAGCAATATATATTTTTATATAGCACAATATTTGGAACATGAGCTTATTTGGGTTAAACCTACGTTCAGCATGATACTGGATATTTTGGTTAAAAACCTAGATTCAGCGTGTTACTAGATATTTTGGGTTAAACCTAGATTCAGCGTGATACTGGATATGTTAACCAAGTAGTTATAATATACAAGACTGTATTTTTAGTAACACAGCACAGAATGTACCCTTGTGGCTAACAGAAGCCAGTGTTCAAAAAGTATTGAACAACTTATTGTGAATAAATAATTATAGTGAATACTTGTGAGCTATTATGGATCGAGGTGTTCAATAAATTCTAAAAGTGTATAGGGTGCGCTGGCACTTGCACTGACTCACTTAGCTAGTGTGTATAGATGATAGAAAAAAGGTAGCGCCGCGCTCCTATATAATTATATACAACTTATGCTTCTAAGGTGTATCAAATGTCAATATGAACTGTGACTATACCACAAAATGCATATAAAAATTATTACATATAGATAACATGCATGGTGAATAAACCTAAACTAATATTGCCTTAATGGGTGCCATGATAAAATCCTGTGTTGCACTCATATAGAGCTATGTGTGCTCTATATTAATAGTGCAAAAAAATATGTGCACGTGCTAAAATAAACAAATAAGAATACAGTCTTTAAGATAAATGTGCAAGTAGATATTCTGTTCCTTGTCTCCGAGTGCTAAATGGTCTCCTTATATGCTCACCTCTATATTTGCCTGAATGAATCCAGGCAAATACGCTTTTTATCCTTCCAGGATAGATGAAATGGGATGATGCCTTTGCTCTAGCCGTCCTATGAGGTGGATATGTATATGGATGGATCCTCCTGTTGTCTACTTTATCTCCCTGTGTACCTGTGAGTACACTGAGTAGCTCTCTTGGGGTCTCCCAATTCCCCTCCTGGGGTTGTTTCCTCGTTCACTCCTCCTAATATCAGCTCATGGGATGTTTGGTCAAAGAAAAGGAAAAGCAGACCATGGTGTCTTATCCTTATACAAAATGGATTTATTTTTGCCAGTAACAAGTATAACTTGATAGTATGCAGCTCATAAATGATCCAGTCAGGCTTAGATGGCAATCAGCAGGTAAAAAGTAGATACAAAGAAAACCTCTCTGCAGCTGCCTCTGCAGTGCTGTCTGCCTGTGTTTGTACTCGGATCTGCTCGCTTCTCCAGTGCAATGTCGTGACGTCAGAGCCCCTCCCCTACGCGTTGCGTCACAGGGTCACGTGACTTCATCAGGGGGAATTTGAGATCCAATCAAATTCCCCCTGATGAAGTCACGTGACCCTGTGACGCAACGCGTAGGGGAGGGGCTCTGACGTCACGACATTGCACTGGAGAAGCGAGCAGATCCGAGTACAAACACAGGCAGACAGCACTGCAGAGGCAGCTGCAGAGAGGTTTTCTTTGTATCTACTTTTTACCTGCTGATTGCCATCTAAGCCTGACTGGATCATTTATGAGCTGCATACTATCAAGTTATACTTGTTACTGGCAAAAATAAATCCATTTTGTATAAGGATAAGACACCATGGTCTGCTTTTCCTTTTCTTTGACCAAACATCCCATGAGCTGATATTAGGAGGAGTGAACGAGGAAACAACCCCAGGAGGGGAATTGGGGAGACCCCAAGAGAGCTACTCAGTGTACTCACAGGTACACAGGGAGATAAAGTAGACAACAGGAGGATCCATCCATATACATATCCACCTCATAGGACGGCTAGAGCAAAGGCATCATCCCATTTCATCTATCCTGGAAGGATAAAAAGCGTATTTTTGCCTGGATTCATTCAGGCAAATATAGAGGTGAGCATATAAGGAGACCCATTTAGCACTCGGAGACAAGGAACAGAATATCTACTTGCACATTTATCTTAAAGACTGTATTCTTATTTGTTTATTTTAGCACGTGCACATATGTTTTTGCACTATTAATATAGAGCACACATTGGTGCATAGCTCTAATATGGGTGCAACACAGGATTTTATCATGGCACCCATTAAGGCAATATTAGTTTAGGTTTATTCACCATGCATGTTATCTATATGTAATATTTTATATGCATTTTGTGGTATAGTCACAGTTCATATTGACATTTGATACACCTTAGAAGCATAAGTTGTATTATATTATATAGGAGCGCGGCGCTACCTTTTTTCTATCAACTTATTGTGAATAAATTACCAGGACCAGAAGGATTGCACCCGAGAGTCCTCAAAGAACTTAGCCATTGTACAGCCAAGAAGTTTAGGAGTAACTTTAAAGGACAGCTTAGTGACTGGAAAGTTACCAGTTGACTGTTGAAAAGCTACATGGTACAGATATTCAAAAAGGGCCCAAGATACATATATACCTGAGAATTACAGACGAGTCAGCCTAACATCAACAGTATGTAAACCGTTGGAGGGGATGATAAGGGACCATAGCCAAGAATTTACTGATAAAAATAGTATCATTAGTAATAACTAGCATGGATTTATGAAATATAGTTCTTGCCAGACCAACCTGATAATATTGTATGAGGAAATATGCTGTAATTTGGATATAGGAAGGCAGGTGGATGTGGTGTATCTGGATTTTGCCAAAGCATTTAATATCAGTTCCCCATAAATACTTAATTAACAAATTGAGGTCTGATGGCATTGACAATAGTGTATGTACCTGGATAGAAAACTGGTAACAGGATTGCATCCAAAGGGTGGAGTATTTTTTAAATGGTCTGGACTTGTAAGTGGGGTACCCCAGGCCTCTGTCCTAGGATCTATTCTATTTTATTTGTTCATAAAAGATAAAAGATTGGTAGAAATAGTTCAACCTCAGTGATTGGTGATAGTACAAAGCTAAGCAGGGTAATAACTTCACAACAGGATATAGAAACTTTTAAAGAAGACAATAAAATAAAGAGATGGGAAACCACATTGCAAATGAGATTTAATACTGAAAATTGTAAAGTAATGCATTTGGGGGCTATAATATTTAGTCTCTATAGGGAGTACTACTTTCTTGCTCTGGGGGGGAATCAGGAATATAAAAGGATCTGGGGGTTCTATTAGATCACATGATCAGCAATAACAATGACACACTGCAGCAAGCAAGACTAACAGACTCTTATCATGCATTAAAAAGGGTATCTACTCAAGAGAGAAGACTATTATTCTACCACTTTACAAAACTCTAGTTTGGCCACATCTTGAGTATGCCATCTAGTTCTGGTTACCAGTCCTCAGTAAGGATGTGTTGGAACTGGAGGGAGTCCATAGAAGGGCAACAAAGCTAATAAAGGGACTAGAAGATCTCAGTTATGAATGACTACAATGATTAAAATTATTCTCTCTAGAGAAGAGATGCTTATGAGGAGATATGATCACAACATACAAATATCTTCACTCAGTGAAGTTGGATGAGAAGTGGTTTAATCTTAATTGAACAAGGGGCTCTTTACTGTTAGAGTATAAAGGATGTGGAATTCCCATTCAAAGTCGGTGGTATCAGCGAGGAGTGATGAAATATTCACAAAACATTTAGATGGGCATCTTAGCAAACACAATATACAGGGATATGGGAAATTGTACTGACATAAACACCCACACCCACATATTAACACATGTCGAACTGAATTAGCTGGTGTCTTTATTCAACTTTACCAACTCTGTAGCTATGTAACCCATGTAAGGGAAGTGTAATAATGTACCTTCAATTGAAACCATATGTAACATTCTTAAGAGGGATGGTGGCAATTTTTACCATTATACAGAAGGACTTAAAATAATAGAGTTTAAGATACCTGTGTACACCAATCACATCATCCAGTCGGTTATCCCAGCATGTGAATGTATAGGGGATGGGAGACACATCCTGAGTCTTGTATACTGTTAGAAGTGTGAAAAAATGGCCACAATTTTAATGTAAGTGATGGGTATATTATAGAACAAAAATTAATGTAATAATTACTTAAATAGTTATTATGGTTGAAAAAACATTAAAAATATGATACAATTTGCTCCAATGGGGAAAAAATCTTTCCTGATCCCCCAGGAGGCAATTGTATATTCCCTGGATCAACTATTCTTATTATTATTACCCCTAATTGTTAGTATCCAATTATATTTAGTGAATTTAGGAATGCATCCAGCTCTTTTTAAAACAATCTACTGACTTGGCCAGAACTAGTTCTTGAGGGAGTCTATTCCACATTTTAATAGCTCTTACTTTGAAGGAACCTTTCAATATGTGAAGGTGTAATCTCTATTCCTCCAGACAAAAGCAGTGCCCCCCTTGTCCTCTGAAATGACCTGAAAATGAATAAAACTAGAGCAAGTTCATTACATGGACCAATTATGTATTTATACATATTGATCATACCCCCCCCCCCCCCCCCACCCCCCTTCATATTTTTTCTCTCTCTCTCCCCTCTGTTTAATTTTTTGCTTACCTTCTCACAAAAAAAAAAAGTCAGATTTGTTTGACAACTTCAGTCTTAGAGATGAGCGAAGTATTCAAAAATTCGATTCGACTGATTCGGCGAATTCGTGGACAATATTCGATTCGAGTCGAATATATTCGCTGTGAATTTAACTTAAAAAAGGGTGTTTCTAGGCTTCAGAGAGACTTAATATTAGTGCAGAACACTGTACCTTTAATTTAAATGCCCTTGGAGTCTGCTGGGGAAGAGAAATAATACTGTCAGTCAGTATGACATGCAGATGAGTGCCGTCGATCTTAGAATCACCGCACACTTCACTCATTTGGCCAGTCACGGGGCCAAAACCAGTGTTTGGAGCCACAGTGTGGCGGTGGAGGCAGCAGCAATGGGAGGCCATACAGCAACCTATGACAAAATGGAAACCAGCAGGAGTGTGAGGAGACCTCAAAGTGGCACATGGCAGAGTGGGAGCAATGGGAGGCGGTACAGGGACCCATGTCACACTGTGGACCCAGCAGCAGCGTGACGAGGCGGTACGGGGCCCATGGCAGATTTGGGGCCTGGCATCACCTATGGGAGGCCTGTAATCTGCCAGCAACCTATGACAAAATGGAAAACAGCAGGAGTGTGAGGAGACCTCAAAGTGGCACATGGCAGAGTGGGAGCAATGGGTGGCGGTACAGGGACCCATGTCACACTGTGGACCCAGCAGCAGCGTGACCAGGCGGTACGGGGGCCCATGGCAGATTACAGGCCTGGCAGCAGCAGCATGGGAGGCCCGTAATCTGTCAGCACCCTATGACAAAAAATGGAACACACCAGCAGTGTGTGAGGAGACCTGAAAGTGGCACATGGCAGAGTGTGGCGATGGAGACAGCAGCAATGGGAGGCCGTACAGGGACCCATGAGAGACTCTGGACCTGGCAGCAGCATGAGGAGGCGGTATATAGGGGCCCATGGCAGATTAGGGGCCTGGCAGCAGCTATAGGAGGCCCGTAATCTGCCAGCACCCTATGTCAAAAAATTCAACACACCAGCAGTGTGTGAGGAGACCTGAAAGTGGCACATGGTAGAGTGTGGCGATGGAGACAGCAGCAATGGGAGGCTGTACAGGGACCCATGAGAGACTCTGGACCTGGCAGCAGCATGAGGAGGCGGTATATAGGGGCCTATGGCAGATTAGGGGCCTGGCAGCAGCTATAGGAGGCCCGTAATCTGCCAGCACCCTATGTCAAAAAATTCAACACACCAGCAGTGTGTGAGGAGACCTGAAAGTGGCACATGGCAGAGTGTGGCGATGGAGACAGCAGCAATGGGAGGCCGTACAGGGACCCATGAGAGACTCTTGGGACCTGCAGCAGCATGAGGAGGCGGTATATAGGGGCCTATGGCAGATTAGGGGCCTGGCAGCAGCTATAGGAGGCCCGTAATCTGCCAGCACCCCATGTCAAAAAATTCAACACACACAGCCAGCAGTGTGAGGAGACCTGAAAGTGGCACATGGCAGAGTGTGGCGATGGAGACAGCAGCAATGGGAGGCCGTACAGGGACCCATGAGAGACTCTGGACCTGGCAGCAGCATGAGAAGGCGGTATATAGGGGCCTATGGCAGATTAGGGGCCTGGCAGCAGCTATAGGAGGCCCGTAATCTGCCAGCACCCTATGTCAAAAAATTCAACACACCAGCAGTGTGTGAGGAGACCTGAAAGTGGCACATGGGCAGAGTGTGGCGATGGAGACAGAAGCAATGGGAGGCCGTACAGGGACCCATGAGAGACTCTAGACCTGGCAGCAGCATGAGGAGGCGGTATATAGGGGCCCATGGCAGATTAGGGGCCTGGCAGCAGCTATGGGAGGCCCATAATCTGCCAGCACCCTATGTCAAAAAATTCAACACACCAGCAGTGTGAGGAGACCTGAAAGTGGCACATGGCAGAGTGTGGCGATGGAGACAGCAGCAATGGGAGGCCGTACAGGGACCCATGAGAGACTCTGGACCTGGCAGCAGCATGAGGAGGCGGTATATAGGGGCCCATGGCAGATTAGGGGCCTGGCAGCAGCTATGGGAGGCCCGTAATCTGCCAGCACCCTATGTCAAAAAATTCAACACACCAACAGTGTGAGGAGACCTGAAAGTGGCACATGGCATAAGAGACTGTGGACCTGGCAGCAGCATGAGGAGGCGGTATAGGGGCCCATGGCAGATTAGGGGCCTGGCAGCAGCTATGGGAGGCCCGTAAATCTGCCAGCACCCTATGACAAAAAATGGAACACACCAGCAGTGTGTGAGGAGACCTGAAAGTGGCACATGTTTGAGGCATGATTCATGGCGGATTTAGTCAGTTGTGTCAGGAACTGGTGGTTTGAAATCCAGACTAATCCACGCCTGATTCATTTTCACAAACGTGAGTCTCTCCACACTTTGGGTGGACAGTCGTGTCCTCCACGGAGTTACAATACCTCCTGCCGCACTAAACACGCGCTCCGATGCCACGCTACTGGCCGGCATGACAGCCTTTCAAGGGCAAATTCAGCTAGTTGGGGCCAAAGGTCAAGTTTCGTTGCCCAGTAGTCAAGGGGATTGTCTACCTCGGTTGGCAGGGTGCTGTCCAAGTAGGCCTAAGCCTGTTGTTTGAGGTCCTGCTCCAGGTCCACCTGATGCTGCTGCTGCTGCTGCTGCGGCTGGTTAGTAGTTTCCTCACTGCGCTGGTGAAGAAAGCTACTCATCATCGACTGCAGACTGAGGCAGCCGCTGCTGGTGGAGCTGCCACTGCTCCTACCACCCCCCACCCCTCCCCTGCTGCCATGGCAGCGGAACGCGAGCGCACAGGGCCCACAGTGTCTGAGGATGGACGTTGGCGCACAAAGGCAGAGACCAACTGACTACATAGGTGGTTTTTATAGTACGTTATTTTGGCCTCCCTCTCAGCAGGTGTGAAAAAGGCCACCATTTTTGAACGGTAGCGAGGGTCCAACAAGGTGGACAGCCAAAAGTCATCCCTCTGTCTGATGGTTATTATTCGGCTGTCGCTACGCAAGCAACCGAGCATGCTATGGGCCATTTGTGCCAAGGAATGCGAGGGACTCCCTGCCTCCATCTCCACAGCATACTGCCACGGTGCGTCTGGGTCTTCTGTCTCCTCCTCCGCCTCCTCTACCAGATGCTCCTGCTCCTCCACTCCTGTCCGCTGAGTGGAAAAACCACCCATTTCACTCAATAATTCCTGAGCACAAATGTCCTCCTCTACCTCCTCCTCTTCTTCCTGTCCTGCCCCCACAGGGGTCATGTGGCGTTGAGATCTGTGCGCCACGTCTACCGCACCCTGACCAGCCATTGTTAACAGCATTTGTTCAAGGACGTGCAACAGAGGAATGACGTCGTTCATCCATAGTCCTGCCGACTCACGAATAGTGTGGCCTCCTCAAAGGGCCTGAGCAAGCGGCAGGTGTCACGCATGAGCTGCCAATGGCTGACATCGAAGTTACACAGGGGAGTACCTTTATCCGCTTGTAACATCAGGAAATCGGTGATGGCCTTTCGCTGCTCATAAAGGCGGTCTAACATGTGTAGGGTTGAATTCCACCTTGTTGCAACGTCACAGATCAGGCGATGATGTGGAATTCCGTTCTGCCGCTGCAGCTCAATGAGCGTGTGCTTTGCGGTGTAGGAATGGCTGAAATGCATGCAAAGTTTACGTGACATTTTAAGGATGTCTTGCAGTGGGATGGTGGATTTTAGGAACCGCTTGACAACCAGATTGAACACGTGAGCCATGCATGGCGCATGGCACAACCTTCCTTGACGCAGAGCAGACACCATGTTCTTTCCGTTGTCAGCCAACATGGTTCCGATTTTTAGTTTGCGCGGAGACAGCCATCTGTCGATTTCTCTGTTCATTACACTGAGAAGTTCCTCCCCTGTGTGACTACGTTCGCCAAGGCATACCAGGTGCAGAACAGCGTGACACCGTTGCGCCCTGCACATGTGATATGCCGGTCGGGTAATGGGACTTGGCACGGGGGTGGCGGCTGAGGACACGGCGGAAGAAGAGGTGGTAGAGGCGGACATCTTTTGTGGACCAAGGACGTGCAAACGTGGAGGCAAGAGCGGCGTGACCTGTCCAAGTTGCTGGTGCGGCTGTGACGGCACCACGTTCACCCAGTGGGCCGTAAATGACATGTACTGTCCCTGACCGTAGTTACAGCTCCACACGTCGGCGCTGCCGTGCACTTTGGCAGAGACCGACATGCTCAAAGACTGGCCCACCATGTCTTCTACATGTGAATGCAGGGCTGGCACTGCCTTTCTGGCGAAGAAATGACGGCTTGGCACTCTCCACCGCGGCGCGGCACAAGCCATCATTCCGTGAAGAGGAGTAGCAGGAGAAGGAGCATCTGAACGAGCGGAAGATGCCAACGAGCGACAACTCCCCTCAGCAGAGGTGTTGGAGCCTTGACTGGCTGATGGAGGGCGATTGACGTCGGGTGACGGAGCAAGTAACGGAGCGGGTGATGGAGCGGGGGCTGGGGCGGGCAGAACCGCCGTATCTTTATCACGGTTTTCCCAGGCCACCAAATGGCGACGCTGCATATGCTGCCGCAACGCTGTAGTCCCAACATGGGCCCCCTGGCCACGCTTGACTTTCTGGCCACATAGTCGACATACGGCTACGTTTACTTCCTCGGGCGGCTTGACAAAAAATTGCCACACCGCCGAGTAGGAAACTTTGCCCCCGATACTCCTCACACTGGCTGACTGCTGCTTCTTCCTCCGTGCACACCGGCACCACTACTGGCCGTGGTGGTAGGCTGCAGTGGAGCTGGTGCTCTACTCCGTGGCCGTTTGGCTCCACTGACACTGCTGCGACCCTGCTGCCTCCTGGGCAACCCCCCGCCGACTCGTTTCGCTCGCATGCCAAGCTGCCACCCTCTTCTCCTGATGATGCGGAAGAAATTGCCTGATGACGACGAGGCTGCCAAGTGCGATCAACCTCCTCATCATCAAGTAGGGTCTCCGCCTCACTACTAGCCCCCCTCGGCTGCGTCTGGGTCAGGAGACAGACCTGTCTCTAGACCGGCTACTGAGCCACTCTCCTCGCCACTCACTTCTTCGCCTGGCTGCTGAAAAGGCGGATGTCTCCCCCCGTTCCTGACCGCCCTCTGTTAGCTCTTCCTCACTGTACAGTGGGGCTGAGCCCACAGCATGCGATACTTCGCTTGGTGAGGGAACACCAAAGGACAGGGGCAGGTAGAGGACACGTGATTTCAGTGGGCTTGGTCCCGGCCATGCCAACTAACGGTTGTGTGTCTGACGTAACCACCGACCGTTGTGCTGTAGGTGTCAGAGGGTGACCTGGGAAGAGGAAGACGACCGAGCCCAACCAAAAAAATCGATGACGGCAGGGTTGTCGGTGGAGACACGACCGCTGGATGACACCGGGAGCACTGGCCTCTGGCTGCGAATAGTGCTGCCTCGACCCCTTCCTCTGCTGCCACGTCTGCTCGCTCCTAAAACATTGCCTCCTCTGCCACTCCTCTGCATGTTGTCTGACAGACATACTCTTTAATTCAACGATTCTGTGTCCCTGAGTAACAATTCTGTGTCCCTGAGTAACAATTCTGTGTCTGTCCCTGAGTAACAATTCTGTGGCCCTAAGTAACGGTTCTGTGGCCCGCAGTAACAATTCTGTGTCCCTGAGTAACAATTCTGTGGCCCTAAGTAACGGTTCTGTGGCCCTCAGTAACAATTCTGTGTCCCTGAGTAACAATTCTGTGTCTGTCCGAGTAACAATTCTGTGGCCCTAAGTAACAGTTCTGTGGCCCTCAGTAACAATTCTGTGTCCCTGAGTAACAATTCTGTGGCCCTAAGTAAACGGTTCTGTGGCCCTCAGTAACAATTCTGTGTCCCTCAGTAACAATTCTGTGTCTGTCCCTGAGTAACAATTCTGTGGCCCTCAGTAACGGGTCTGTGGCCCTCAGTAACAATTCTGTGTCCCTCAGTACACAATTCTGTGTCCCTCAGTAACAATTCTGTGTCTGTCCCTGATTAACATTTACGTGGCCCTAAGTAACGGTTCTGTGGCCCTCAGTAACAATTCTGTGTCCCTGATTAACGTTTCTGTGGCCCTAAGTAACGGTTCTGTGGCCCTCAGTAACAATTCTGTGTCCCTCAAGAAACAATTCTGTGTCTGTCCGTGAGTAACAATTCTGTGGCCCTAAGTAACGGTTCCTGTGGCCCTCAGTAACAATTCTGTGTCCCTGAGTAACAATTCTGTGGCCCTAAGTAACGGTTCTGTGTTCCTCAGTAAACAATTCTGTGTCCCTCAGTAACAATTCTGTGTCTGTCCCTGATTAACGTTTACGTGGCCCTAAGTAAACGGTTCTGTGGCCCTCAGTAACAATTCTGTGTCCCTGATTAAACGTTTCTGTGGCCCTAAGTAACGGTTCTGTGGCCCTCAGTAACAATTCTGTGTCCCTCAAGAAACAATTCTGTGTCTGTCCCTGAGTAACAATTCTGTGGCCCTAAGTAACGGTTTCTGTGGCCCTCAGGGCCACATAAAAGTTAATCAGGGACACAGAATTGTTACTGAGGGCCACAGAACCGTTACTTAGGGCCACATAATTGTTACTCAGGGACAGACCACAGAATTTGTTACTGAGGGACACAGAATTGTTACTGAGGGCCACAACCGTTACTTAGGGCCTCAGAATTGTTTACTCAGGTACACAGAATTGTTACTGAGGGCCACAGAACACGTTACTTAGGGCCACAGAATTGTTACTGACACAGAATTGTTACTGAGGGCCACAGAACTGTTACTTAGGGCCACAGAATTGTTACTCGGACAGACACAGAATTGTTACTCAGGGAGAATTGTTACTGAGGGCCACAGAACCGTTACTTAGGGCCACAGAATTGTTACTGAGGGACACAGAATTGTTACTGAGGGCCACAGAACTGTTACTTAGGGCCACAGAATTGTTACTCGGACAGACACAGAATTGTTACTCAGGGACACAGAATTGTTACTGAGGGCCACAGAACCGTTACTTAGGGCCACAGAAACGTGTACTCAGGGACACAGAATTGTTACTGAGGCCACAGAACCGTTACTTAGGGCCACAGAATTGTTACTCGGACAGACACAGAATTGTTACTCAGGGACACAGAATTGTTACTGAGGCGCCGCAGAACCGT